ATCCTGATGATTTGCCATACACTCTGCCCCTTAATTCAGTTCTGGGACACAATGTTTTTTAGAGGGAAGCCATTGCAAGGATAAAATGTGCGAATTTTCATTCTTCCTTGTATCAAAGATACCATTTGAAAATTTAACTCTGGCCATCATATTGCTTGTGTCAGTGGAAAACACTTCTAGTCAAGGCATGCTACTTTCTTTGGGCAAAATTTAGAGTTTGTGATTACCTCATCTGAAAAGTATTTGTCTACAGCTGCTGCAGTCCCCCTGAAAGCAGGATCTTCACAGAGGCATTTTATACATGAATCTATGCTCCTAAAACAGCTGTCTTTTTAAAACCACCTAAAAACTCCAGTAAAATTCATTTTGTATTTTTGCAAGAACAAATACTCCCAGCATTGACTGCAATACCCATTCTACATGCCAATATATCCTGGGGGTTCTTTCAACCATATCTGCAATCATTCAAATTTGTTGGTTTTACATATTAAATGAGACACTAGCAACCCTCTTTGAGTTTTCAATGAAGAGGTGTGTATTCTGGTATTACTTGCAGAGTTGTTTCTCAGGTAGTGTGAGTTGCTGCAGACATTGCTGTAAGATCTAAGCTGACATTCTGGGATTGTCACTTTAGCTCCAGCTCAGCTCTCTCTTGGTTTAATTTATGCCACAAGAAGTTCATTAAATAAACACTGACAGTCTTCTTCAGCCAGTTTTGCAAGAAAGCAGTTCCCAGCCAGCTGAAATGTTCTGTTTGTTCCTGATACTTTTTGTTGCTATTTAGAAAGCTGCAGCATCAGTGTACAGAAATCCCAGAGTACAGAGTGACCTCGCTGGCCAGGAGATTGGAACCTCCACACACTCACAGGGTGCCAAAGATCAGGTTAAGATACCTGTGTGGTATCTGCCTGCCTGACAGCTGAGCACACTTGAAGAGAGCATTAATACACCACATGATAAAGATTAGATCACAAACAACTGATAAACACGTGTTTAGAACAGCTCCAGTTACACTCATAACTAAGTTTTAGGCAAAACCTGAATTATCCACACAAAACCTAAAACACCCACAGTCATTATTCAGCCAAATATGTTACAGTGAGGACATGGCCCCACGCAGCAGCAATGTTACAAGTGCACACAACAGAACCAAAGCTTCTGCAGATAACAAGGTACATTTTCAATGAGAAACATTCTGACTTTCCAAGGCCATGTCCATTCAGCAGGGTCCCTGCCTCTGTTAAATGGCTGGAACAGATCCAATCAAAATCAGGACTGTGTTTTAGAAAACTCTTTAGAAAGCTCTTTCACTTGAAGGGAAAAAGCAGCAGCAGAGTAACCACACAGTATTTTAGTGCTCATTTTTTCACAGTTATCTTACAGGTGCCAAGGCTGAGAATAACAAAGATTAGCCCAGGAAAAACACTGATGGTCACAAAAAAGGAACTAAACCACAAAGCTTAGGTGGGAGCATAAAGTTTCAGGATTGGTGAATATCCAGTGAAATGCATGCAAGATCTAAAACTAGTACTAATATGACCCTTGATTTCTTAAATCAGAACAAAAGTTCCTTCAGAGAAACCCCTAAATTGTGAACAAACTCTTCAGTTCAATTTGTGTAAATGCAAGTTTGGCACATTGCTTAAAGAGAAAAACATCAAAGTTTGGCTCAGATCCAAAATCAAAGCTGGATGGGCTACAAATCTAACCAGGGAGATGATTTTCCCTGGTTAATCATTAAATGATTTTCATTTAATTCTAAGCAGAATTAAATTAAATTTATGACCGAGGAGAGAGAAATGTCCAACACTTTGAAAGCAGAATCTGATAGAAATTTAGGATGTTCCACAGCTGTGCATTGCTGCTTCCTATGGCAGCAGCAGGGCTCCCAAAATCTCTGTGTGCCGCTGGTGACACAGCCATCCTGCTGAGGCACACACTGGCCTTTTCAAGTGGCCAGGAACTGTTTAGCTGGTATTAGTGGCCTGGAGCTTTGCTTCAGGGAGAACAATAGGTGTACTATTTTAGAGGCATTAAAGGTATTAGTGGCAAATCTGCACCGTGCCTTGTTTACTGCAGTACCAGTGGCATTAGGGAGGAATTGGAAATGACTGCAACAGGCTGCCTGTTTTGAAATGCTCCCTGCCATATGAAAACATGATTCTTATTGTGGCCATCATTATGAAAACCAGCAGGATTAATCAGCATCTTCTGGTTTTAAAGTTAAAGGAAGCAAGAAGTTGCTTCCATAAACTTTGTTGTCACACTTCTCAAAAAACCAATTATGGCTCATGTGAGCCATTTATGGCTTTTCATTCAATAAGGACTTACACTTTGATTTCTGCATATTTTCAGTCAAAACCAAATATTTTCATACCCAGTGAACAGTCACATGAAATATTTTAATTAGAGAATTACTTAAATAAGTGAGAAAAACCAGCGGCTCAGACACACACAGTAACACATTGCCAACAACTCCAATACCTGTTTCCATTTCTCTTAGGACAATCAAAGAAAAAAAATGAGGCCTTTAAATTAATTATTATTTGAGACAAAAAACTTGATTGGCCAAGATGTAACCACCAATCTGCCAAGATGAGATGTTCATGCAATTTTATGTCTGCTTGAAAGGCACTATGGTGGAGTTGTGTGCTGCACATGCAGTCTTGTGCTAGGAAAGCCTTGAACAGACACAAACAGGGGGAGGCAGAGGGTTCTGAACTTCTTCCTACCAGCTCTGCCCCACAGTCTTGCCCAGCTCTAGGGAGTTTATGCTATTGGTTTTTAATTGTTTTTATAATTTACAGGTTTATGCTATTTCCACTTCCTCCTGCTCCTGCCATCAGCAAAGGAGCTGATACAGCTTCCTGAGGAAGACAAGGGGCACCGAAGTAACTCTGCCATGGCAGCATTTATCCCAATGCCAAGGGCAGGTTTATTGGTTTATTGCTATTTGGCCCAGCCTACTTGGTTTTTTTTCCAGTCAGATGAGGGTGATACTTTTAAAGTTCCCAGGCATGGGCACAGGGATTTTAGTAGCTAAAATCCTAATGAGATACATAGCTGAGGCCTAAGGCTGCATTTCAAGCTATTTGGGTCATTCCACCACGTCACAAGAACCTCAGAGTGCAGCATGGTGGACACAGGACCTCTAAAACACAGCTCTAGATATTTGGTAGCTATTTTGGCTCTAGGTATTTTGGCCAGCTTTCAATTAAGAGCTTTCTATTTCAAGAAAACTTAACAGAAAACAATGAAGAAACTGGCATTGGAATGGTGTTAATTTCTCCTCCATTTCAGACATAGTTTGACCTACTTAGCTGACTGTTAGATTTAAGTCAATGAATGCAGAATGAAATTCACAGACATGAACTTTCTCAAACTGAAACCAACAAAGATAGCGCAAAGCTGTTACAATGAAATGATTCAGAATGAATCCAGTAATCATCATAACACAGCTGACAGCCAACAGTTTTACTTAGTCCTGTTTTTCTCAAACTGATGACTGCAGATGACTGGTCTTTATAGAGAAATATACTCCTGTAAGTGCTGAGAAGTGTATACTCTCCCAGGTGAAGGAGGATATTTACATACACTTTAGCAGCATGATTTATGCTAAAATTTTTGAAAGTCAAGACTTGTCATGTTATAAAACAGCAAGCATGCAACTATGATGAGTCAGTAGCCATATCCCAGTGACAGAGAAAAACCTTCCCATTGTATTTTTCCTGTGCCTCACTTTTATCTCTCAAAGAATTCAGTGTTTAGAGTAACACTGTAATTCAGAAAAAACTGAGTAGATATTTTCAAACCAAGTGTAAGCAATTTTTTTTTTAAGGTCAGTTCTATACAATGTCCCCAAGAAAGGCTGCAGAAAATGTGGTTCACCTCCTTAGGAGTGGTGCTTGTTTCCCATGAACAATCAGGTGGTTGCATGTGCTAATTGTAGCTATATATCTTAGGAGCAAAATTAAGCTTTTTCTCATATTTCTTTCCAACAGCAGTTGCTCTCCACAGAACAATTCTGTGTCAGATTCTCTGCTGGCTTTGCACTGCAGCTGCAGTCCTGCAGTTTACTTTATCAAGAAGCAGTTTGGCATGCAAATGTGCAAGTGATAACACAATGAGAATCTGGAATTCATCTCACTACAGTTATTCTATTTCTTAAGTATTTTTCTTTTAAGTTAGCATAATTCTCTATTGAGCTTCAAATTCTAACATTTTAGATGTCAGAATAATCCAATATTCTCTAATCTGATTAAACTTTCATTCCTTTGACCCACACTTCTCCAAATCACCTCTGCATTTCCCAGTGTACACTTGTACCAAAACCTGCAGCCCGTGCTGTGACTCTGGGCAGGGTGACAGGCACAGCTGGGGCTCAGATCTCACACAGCTCTTGCAGCCCAGCAGCAGCACAGCCTCTGCCACAGAACTTACTCAGGCTCACAAAAAAAACTGTCCCCAGAGAGTTGCATACACACCACTGAATATCAGATATTTGGTCTGGTTGTTTCATATGAACTTACACTTATTTGCAACCATTTATAATGTATTTTGTAGCTAAAATATTTTTAATTATATTAGTGTTCGATTGCTCATTTTGCCACATTTAAAATACAAAAACCACTTCAGGAAGTCCTAATAAAGTCAGATGTTAAGATTTGGGTTTGTCTCATAAAATGCATCTTTCACTGCTAACAACTCCCTGTTGATGGATGTAGCTTACACCATAAATTTCATGGTTTCCATCATCTGAGAATCTCTCAAATCCACAACAAGTGTTTCTCTTTTATGGTAGCTGCAAACAAGCACCATCTACAAATCAGATGTTAACACAGCAAAGCAAATTGCAAACCTGGTGAGTGGATTTGCTTACTGGGCATCAGTTCTCAAGAAAACTACTTTCTACACTCCTGCACAAAGTCTTCAAATCCAAGTTTCTCTCTCGTCAAAACAAAACTAAACCAAACAAACAGGAAAAGTTTGAAAGTGCTTACCTTGAAGAAGCTCCGAAGAAAATACATTATGCTTAGCATTTTGGAGAGTTCGAGATGAAGAATTGTTCAATCTTTACAACATCCAAGGCCTGGGTGAATTCCTACACTCCTGCTGTGTCTTTAGTTACATGCTTTCTTGTTGCTATTTTGGACAGTCTTAGTACAAGGGAAGCATATGAGCCATGCCAGGAGCTTATGCTAAGGAGTTGCATAACAATTAGGGCTTATCTGTGCTGTGCTGTGCAGTGCAGCAATGCAAACAGGTTTGTTCACAGTTTACTAGCCCCAGAACACTTCCACTAGGCATGCCCAGAATGATGCCATTGTATTTGCTAAAGAAACTAAAGCTATTTGTGAGTGCTTCTAAAAGAACTGGAACTACAAAGGACAGCACATGTTCCCGTACATCCCCCCCAGCCTTTGCTTTTGCCAACTCCAAGTTCACCCAGTATTACACTTGCTGCAGCATTTAAAAGCAAAGGCTCCCACACTGGCAGCTTTCTAGTTGCTATCTTTAAAGGGAAGAAAAATTGCAGAACAAGTCTTTTGAAGTGCAGGAAAGTAAATGTAATTTCACTTTCGTCTTTTTTCTCACTTAACATTAAAGTCCCTTAAATTTATTTGTGCTTCAGTAACATTGAGCAGCACAGTGATGCAACTTCTGTCACGTAGCAAAGAATCTATAGTGGCCAGGACTGAGAGTTATGCAAAGCCTCCTCACACAGTGCACTGAGAATTAAAGACAACTCCAGAGTGCAAGCAGGTTCTCAGAGGGAGATCATTCTGCAGTACAGCAACTCTCAGGCACAGCCTGACACTGCAAGCCTTCACTTATTTTTAATCTAGCTGTGTCCTGTGTGTGAACTACCAAAACCCTGCCACCAGGAAGAGGTGTTTTAAGGAGTAGTTCCAGAGGAGCTTCTGATGCTCCATGCTGCTGGCACAAGGAAAGGAAACAGAGAAATGTGCTGTGCCCCAGCACAGCAGGATGGGAGGGGGACACCATCCCACAGCATGGCTGGTGCCACAGTGCACGTCCCCAGGTAACACCAGCTCTGAGGCTGGATTTGCTCTTTGATAGAGCAAAGCAAGGCAACCCTGCACAGGGGGAATGATGAAGAGGACTCCACATTATCAGAAGGCTGAATAATTACTTTATTATACTATATTATTCTACACTATATTACATTACATCCAAACTGAATCTGCCCAAGCACCCAACTCAACTGCCCAGGATCTCGTGGCTGCCAGCCCACAGTCCCCACACACACCTGGATTCAATTGGTCAGTGAATCACAACACTCACACCAGAATCCAATCACCAATTCCCTTCAGGTAAACAATCTTCCTCAATGCATTCCACTTGTGAACAACACAGGAGCAGTAAATGAGATAAGAATTGTTTTTAATTTCTCTGAGGTTCCAAGAAGGTGAATCCCAGAAAATCCTTGGGAAGTTGTGCCTTGCTTTTCTCTGTGAAGGGAAATGTGGCCACACTTTGACGTGCCCTGTGCAATGCAGGATCTCTGGGCCAGCACCCCCTAAGCACAGCCCCACTTTGGGTTTCCTTTGGGTTTTGCTTTGGGTTTGCTGTACCCCTCTGTAGCCCCCAGCAGCCACTCTTCTGGTTAGTCCATTGCACACAGGTGTAGTGGTGTTTGGGTGGTGCATGTCAATCAGATTTTTTCATGCAAAAATCAAGTATTTTACAGCAGGAAGCCATAATTGGCAACGTGCACAGTTTTTCTGCCATTTTGGGAAATGCATAAGTTAAGCATCCATAGTCACACAGAATGGTACATCTAACTTGTTAGAAACCAGGCCAATAATTTCTAAATTGCAACACAAGGCACAAATGCAGTATCATCTGTAGTTTGATCTGCCAAATGGCAATACTGCTTCAGTGAAGTTTGGCCCTGTTGATTCTTATGATTACATGGACAAAAGGAGTTTTTAACCCTAAATTTTAGCTCTAAAATACAAGAACAATATTATAGACCCACAACAATCTTTGTAAGTAAATTTTTGGCCCATATTATGGAAGGCAAACCCCAGATAAAAATTCTAAAAAGTCTCAAAACAACTAAAAATCCAATGTTAGTTTTCAAAAATTCTCTTTGGAGGAAAATGGGCCTGGCTTGTGATTTTTCAATGCTTTGATTTGTTAATATTTAAGTTTAAATAATTTTGAAAGACTACTTTTTATCATTTATTCTGAAATTACTCTTTTAAAACCTGCTCATTTGAGAAGTGGCGGGTACACTTCTATTTCCTGCATGCCTCTCCTAGTATTGACTTAGCAGGTTATGCTCACAAGGTTCAGGTGAAACATTCCTTCCCCAAGCCATGACATCACACTCTGAGCAGAAGGAAATGCCCACTGAGAAAAGTCCAGCTCTGTGGTGTCTTGGCATTTATTTTTCACAAATGAAAATGAAAATAAAGCTTTATTCATATTTGAATTAGGGGTTTTTAATGAGAATCTATAGATGTTGAAAGGCAAGTTTTTGCTGCCTGGTTTTTATCTACAAGTATTTCTAATTTACACAGAAATGTTTCTTACAAACAACATGTCAAAGCAGGCCATTGTCCAAAGGACTTGACTCCCCTTTCCATTGGTTATCTTTTCTGAAATTAAAGTTCAACTGCTCATCTTCACCTTATTCTTCCATGCTTCACTCATTCATGGGTTAGAAATAAGGATGCTCCTTCTGTAAATCAGCTGGGACCTTTCCCTCAGACTGGTACATTTCTTGGGCTGATTCAATTCACCACACAGGATGTGCAAATTGCACAGTATTCCCTTAACCCGCAATTCCTTGAACACAATTTGAACTCTGCTGGTCAAAACTGCAGGAAAATTGCAATAAGCTTTCTAACAGTCAAGCCTGTGTGATTCTGCATCTTAGCAGATCATTGTGGAGCTACCTAAATCCTTTTCCAGCCCTGGGAAACACTGGCTGGACCAGGTGCCCTGGGGTCTCTGAGAGGGGAAGGGGCTGCTCTGTGCTGGACACGAGCCCCGGTCCCAATTCCTTCAGGCCAGCCAGGGAAAGCTGGAGAAGCCAGGAGGGAAGGAGGGAATATCAACCTTGGGGGAAACAAGGGAGAGGTGGGGGGAGGAGTTTCCACTTTGCTTTTGTTTCTCATCATATCTCACCATTTTCCCCAAAGCTGAGTCTGTTTTGCCCATCATGGTAATTGTTAAAGGTCCTTATCACAACCCATGAGCTTTTCCATTCTTATTTTCTCCCCTTTCCTGTTGAGGAGGGGGTGATAGAGGGTGGCAGGGTGGGCAGCTGGCCCATGTCAAACCCACCATGCACTGTGACCCCACACAAACCTCAAAGCATTAGAGAGTACCTGCAACCTTATTCAATCTGGGTTACAACATGTGCAAACACCTTAAGATCTTCTTTCCCCCTTAATCCTACATCTGATGAAGTCCTTGATGACAACTTTGATTTGCAAACACCTAAAAGATCTTTCCCCCTTAATCCTACATCTAATGAAGTCCTTGGTAGTAACTTTGATTTGCAAATCTATAAAAATCTTTCTGATGCCCAAAACTTTATATTTTCCAGAATTTCAGCCTACTGCTGATAGACTGGCTCTTTTCCTAGCTAACCTCTCATATTTTTCCCCTCCCATTAAAAGCAAACAATCTGGAATTCCCTACTATCAAGTCCATTTTCAGAGTGAGGAGTTTATCACTCACCGTGCACTTCACTTGCAAAACGGTGGCGATCATTTTTTCAGTGTATGATTCTGAGGTTTCATTTGGTCAGTGAGGATTTATTCTCTTTGGGACAGGCTCAGAGCTGTTAATCCTCAAGTGCCCAAGGCCAGCTCCTGTTGACGTTTTCCTTGCTGATACACTATCAAAATCCACATGCCTTTTCTGCTTTATAAAGAACAGCAGCTGAAAACTATCCCTGACTCAGAACAAAATATCCTTTTTGCTTTTTGCCACCACAGCCAAAAGTTACTATTTAAAGTGACACTGCCTTCAGCAGAGCAACTCCATGGAGTGCCTGAACCAAAAAATATCTGTCTAAACCTTGCAGAACACTGAGACCAGGATTCTCTGAGGGCAGACCAGTGACGGCACTGAAACTCCACTACTGCACTAGTGCAAGGCTTTTCTTCCCCTCATTTCAACTATTTGATTACTTCATGTACCATTCACTGGGTTTGACATGGTTGGGTATTCTGTGGATTGTGTCAGGCTGACTTCCAAACGAACTAAATGATGGAAAATATGTTGAAATCATTCCAGCTTTATGGCTGCAAAGGTCAGCTGTGACAAGGCTTGTGTGCATTATGCAGAGCTCAAAGTGAGGATGGAGACTGTGCCTGCCTTCTTTCCTCTTCTCAGAGCACCAAATCCCCTGCAAGATTCCTTCAAGGAACAATTTTGCTCTTTGTTGCCTTTCCCTTGGAAGACAAAGCCTAGAAATTTCATTGTTTTCATGTCAGTAAAGACAAAACCATGCTCTATTAAATAAGGTATTAAAAATGATTCAGTGGAATATTAATTTATATCCAGAGACTCTCAGGTTTAGAAATACTGCAGTCTGAAATCAAAAGCTCCAAGAGTGAAAACTTTAAGCTGTCACCCTGACCTGGTTAGAAGGGACATGCTGCAGGCAACCATCATAAGCATCTTCACAGGATGATTTAAGTGACCAAACAGGTATTCTAATTTCTGAAGGATCATGGCAGACACTTTCATCTCCACTGTAATTGCTTCTTTTCCCTCAGGCAGTTCATTTGATTACCATTATCATGAAAATATACCTCTTGATGTAGCCTAACATGTTGGTTCAAGGACTCTTCAAATGCTTCTGAATTTCCCTCCTGTAATCAAAGCATTTAAGTTTTCTGTCTTCATAGAAGGTAAGAGATTCTGAGCTTTTGAGAGCTGAGACAGCTATTTCTGTGTTTTACCACAGCCTCAGCTCTCAGCTGGATGAACATTTGTGCTGCTAAACTAAATCCCTGGACAGCAACACTGGCCACCATTGCCCAACAAAATCCCATTTCTTATGGAAATCAGCTAACTTAGAACTCCTCAGACAATGCTCTAAATGATAGGACAGTTTAAGAGTGGATTTGAATTATAAGCTTCTGAAGAAAAACAATAAAGGAAATCTTAGCATGCAAAAATCAAATATTTCATGCAAAAAGCAAATTTTCTCATGCAAAAATCAAAACTCATGGATCAAAGCCTGATTGGAGTT